AGTCAAGGGGAGGGTTTTAAAAAAAAAAATGAATATAAATATTCTAAATATAATTCTTAAGATTCAGCCATGCTCATAACCCTAACAAAAGCAGTATCAGCAGTGTCAAAGCTGAATCTAGAAACAGTCTCTCTATACGGCCTCTAAATAGGCACGAGAAGGCTAATCCCTTACACACTGCGAGCTAATCTCCATATAGAAGACTAGTACACAAAGTGAACACAGAGATGGTTTTATCCATGGATGCGCTCTTCCACTGTCTGAGCTCTAGAGGTGTGTGTGCAGAGATAAACGAGGTGGAAGAGGGATTAAAATGTCTCGAACATTCGGGCTGTTTAATTGAAACCTCCCCTGGGACACCGCAGAGGGGACAGGAGGGCAGAGGCTGTCCATGAAGCCACCACTGGGGACCCTCGCAGGTGAATCCATTCGCCTCTCAGTAGAAGATGATGAATAGTGTGACATCAGTATTCCGCAGGGGAGTAGGCGTGTGCCACTGTCCCCTGGAAAAACTGAAGGCTATGTGGCCTTAATGTCAGAGATGGATCATGAGGGCGGGGGTCCTGCTGTGATCAATAATTTATGAAAACATTAAAAGCATTTTTGTATTTTGACAGGCCAATTGGAGCATTTGTATTAGAGACAGGAAGGCGGAAAGAGTTTATTTTAGGGATGTGGCACACGTTCCTCCCTGTAGCCCGACTTGTTTCATACAATTTCTATATTAAAGAATACTATTCAGGATATCTCTGCGGCTTCATTTTGACCTCCTTTGGCAAATGCTCCAATGTTATAGAGAGGAAGAACAAAATGGCTGCAGTACGAGAGAATGCCGAGGCTAAGCTCCCCTTTATGAACCTTTACAATTAAGAAAATCAATACTGAGAAACAGGTTTGTGACATGGAGTTAAAAAAATAGATGAACAACTTTAAAAACAATGAATAATTCTGAGTGAAATCTATAAATAAACGTTACTTTTAGCGAAAAGGACGATAGGGAGACATTTTTTAAATGACTGCGGGGTGCTAGTTAAACTAAATGTTATTTTTTCCAAGCACTCCATGTCATTTTAAAAATCACTGAGACCACTGTGGTGCCTGGTCTTTTGTCCTGCCCATCTCTCCATAATAGAGCACCGGACCATGTGACATTTGAGTGATGGCTTTTGACAAATCAATGAGATGTGAACAAGTGCTGTGATAATGTTGTTAGCAGCATCATTTTCTCTTGTTCTTGGTTGAGCGGTGATTGATGGAGGTGTTAGACCTTTTTTTCCAGTGTCAAGAACTGAGCGTTAGAAATAAACTTGCCGTGCAGTACGTGTCCTTGAAAGAAAGAAAAACAGCAAGGAAGACTATCGAGCTGGTGGAGCAGTTTAAAAAAAAAACTTTTTTATTTTATCTGAGGCTAGTAGTGGGTAGATCTAACAGTCAGTCAGTGTACAAGGATGTCAAAAATAGATTCACTCCTGTGAGATTCACGGATACATCATTGCTGGTAAATGCATCCAACTTTGACCGATGAAGAGCAGATGAATAAAGAGCCTGGCAGCCTGGGAACAAAGGCATAAATGGCTTCCTAGATCCATGTTCATTACATGCTGAGAAAATAGCACTTAGCTTTTATTCACAATAGATGCAGTGTCCATCAGGATGAGTCACAAAGACTCACAGCATCCATTTGATGAAAGCAGCCTCTTTCTAACACTTAAGTTAACACCACCTCTCTTTCACAAAGAGCTAATAATGGCTATAAGGATTCAGGGTAGGTGTCAGAAGCACCGTTTTAGAGGAACTAAAGTTAAATGGTTTAAATGTATTAACTTTATAAAGATCTTTCCAATGGAAGTCTGGAAAATAGTGTTAAGCAAAAGCTTTAAGTGACTAAGGGTTGGAAAAGACTCCCAGATGTGTTAACTAGATGTTATTGTTACTTTCTAAAAAGGCTCTGGGTAGAATGATTATGTTGTTGCTAAACTCCTGACAATCTTACTCTACGCTAAACTCACCAGTGAATACTCTTGTGATGATTTTGAATTAGCTTAACTGAAAATATTAATTAGATGAGAAAAAAACAATTTCTTATTCAGATGATTACTTGATTCTTAATTAGCTGCCAAAATAAAGCGTTTGCACTTGTGTGTGTGTGTGAATCCCCGTTGTTCCAAAGCTACAGTATGCACATTTGGTTGAATACAGCAGTATAGAATAATAAACCATGAGCGACAGAAGACAAATGAATCGGGCTGGGTTTAATTCCTTTGATCCCCAGAGAAGAAAAGCACGGCGATCATTTTTCAAAGAGGAAGTTGCATCAGGTAATCAGGGACTTGTTTTATTCTTTCATTATGCTATAATAACAAGAGATTCCTGGGAAGTAGCAAGTTTGAAAAGCTCTTACAGTTAATGAAACATATCTCAACATTCCTTTATTAAAACATATCTTTTGATTAAGAGGAAAATGGTGCCGGGGTGCCCCTTTAATTGAGAGTAGTCCGTCTTCAATAACACAGCCTTTAAACAGCATGTTGCATCTGTCAATCAATTATTTTAGTTTCATAATGTTTACAGTATAGGTTTTATTGTCGCCAAATTAAAAATGTGTTTCCATATACAACATAGATACTAGTATTGTGTTCAATATGGCACATTTTCAAATGGATCATTTAAAAATGCAGGGTATAAAAACAACATCTTCACTTCTGCTGTTAACCATCTGGTGGCACTCTTCCAGCTTTTAAAGAGCCAGAGTGCTCTACGTGCACAGTCCCATAATGGGACCAAAAGCTGCTGCGCCCACTGAACAAAGGCTTTTGTGAAGGAGATCACATTCACTTTATCCCTACAGTAACAGAATCAGATTAAGCATGTATACAGTTCCTGTTGACACTGCCTATTCTTTTTTGTTCCGTTGGTCTCAAACCCCTCAACAAGTTCAAATGAAACCAATTCAACAGTGCACGATCTGTGACAACCCGATCATGATTAATGAGCTGCATTATCTAATGAGTGTATCAACTCTGTTAGTCACATTTCTGCTTTACAATTCAATATGAATAATTTGAGAGTGATTTCATGATTGTTGATCGATTAAGATAGTAGAGGAACTCTGACTTTGACTCAGTCCAGTGGTAAATTGTATATGGTTTGTGCCAATTATCTGTAGGTTCACGCTTCATTAATAAGACACAATTGTGGTTAGAAAATATCAGTAACCATCAGAAAAAACTGCTAAAATGATACACCATTTGTGCAGGATTTGAGATTTAACTATAAATACAAGTCTAAAAGATGAAAACAATACCATCAGCGCAATACAAAAGCCTCCAAATTGATGAGGCAATATTTTGCCAATAGAGTTAATGTAGCCGTATGGCAGATGTCCTTTGTGTGACACGATGGTTAGCAGCAGTATGTCACACATTGAGCTAATGTCCTCCACACAATCAGAAATGGCTCTTGTAGTGAGAGGACTTTAGCCAGGCCCCTCTGCTCCTTGAGAGGCAGCGACCCCCTCTCTCCACACCCACTGTTTTGACTGTCAGCAGCCCCTCCTCTCCTCCCCTCAGCCCTAATGAGCCATCTCCTGGGGCAGCGCTTTACCCCCGCTAGGGGTAAAGAGGCCATCATGTTGCTCATCTAAAGACGACACATAGCCATGACTTCCCCCTAATTGTGTGCCTGTGTTGGCTCATTTGTTTTCGTCGTTAAAAATGCACCCCCATATTTTCCCCTCCCCACTGATAGACCGGCTGTAAGCAATTTGGGGGAGCAGTTTCTACTGGCTTGGGAGGGCTTTGAGGCCTCTCTCTCTCTGATGTATGGAAACACTCACAGACTCATAAGCAGACTTGAAAAGTACAAGAAAATATTAAACACAAACATTCTTCATTATGCATACACACAGTGAAAACACACGCACACACATACACACTGGTGAAACCCCTTGGGACATTGTGTGTCTGTGGCAAATTTCAAAGTAGTAAACATCAAATACAGACTGACTGCGACCTGTAGGAGAGGAGACCTTTAGCTGGCACATTAAATATTGATGTGGTAAAGTTATGCAGATTGTTTATTGACCGGCTTCAGAGAAGAAATGGGGGAAGGTAAGAAAGAGAAAATACTCCTAGTGTAATTAGTTTGATTTCTGAATACTGTTCAAATGTACTTCCTCTTCCTGACAGTTGTAATTCCAAAAACAAACAAGCAATTAAGAAAATAATTTAAAAATATGCTTAAGTGCTCCTCTGAAGTAATGCTTCGGTTTGCACAGAACAGAGCCCATGACTGTAGACACAATTAGTCTGTAATACCTCAATCAACCACAATTAGGGCTGATTCAATGCAAACAGGACCCTCCCCTCTGTCACTTGAGTGTCTGTGACATTTGCCAGGTGGTGTTTGCCTTCTCCATGTTTAGGTTATTATTAGTCTAATGCCATAGAAGTATCCTGTTTTTCTCAATGAAGACAATTAGGACAACATTTTTTTTTCCGATTCGCATATATTTTGGCATTTAGAATATTTGTCGACAGCCCAAATACTGTAGGCGTGTACACTTTATGCTGCATTCAATATATATTCTTTCTAAAGTTCATCGACTGTATATCAGCAAGCACAGCACTGCAATTGTTGATTGTTAGATTTAGGAAAGCAAATGCTGTCTTAGATGTGTTCACAGATGGACTTAACAGTGATGTGTGTGTTTTCAGGGATCACTATGTCGCTACCCAGTTTTTAAAAGGGTTTGACTGCATCATTAACCTTATGTACTCTGGGCATTAACTAATCGCTTTCTTTCTTCTGTCTGATTGTCAGAGCTCTGTCTCCTATAATGAAGGGGTAATTAATAACCAATTTGTATATATTGCATTACCAAACATTTTTAAAGCCGTAGGAAAACCAGGGACACGAAAGAGCTGGAGACAATCAGGTGGGTTTATAATAAAGGTTGACATTGTATTGGTTTTCAATTTAAAGACATGAAAGCAGCGGTATGTAAAATAGATACAGACTAGCGTTGCATGGTTGATGACGATATTACTTACAGTACATGTATTTATAATTGTTTTTACAAAAACTATTACCTTCATAAATTACATTTTGAGTACTTGAGCTTCGGGCTCCAGGAGTCGGACAGATAATGATGTCAGCTTCCTGTGAAAGACACATCCTACTGTCAAACAGCGCTGAGATGTAAATGAATCTTACAGTGTTTAATCATGCGGTAGAGTCTCCATTGTATCACATTCAGACTACCTGCTTTAGAGAGAAGCTTATTGGAGGACGGAAAAGGGTCTGGATGTCTGAAGACAGGCAGAAACACATGACATGATGACTCAAACGGCGTGCTATGTAAACAGAGAAAGGAAAAAATGCATTACTGACACAATTTTCTTAAAAGAATAATCCCAGACTCAGTTTCCTTATCTTCTCCTTTTCATGTTAATGTCCCATTCCCCCATGTAATTTGCAGTCATTGTGAAATCTCACATCTACCATTAGGCATGGTAGATGATATTACGGAACAGATCCAATTTGCAATAAAGATTTACACTGTGCAGGCTTACTGTGTGATACCTTGATGAATGAAATCGAATAAAAATCACTAAAACACACCCAGGTGAGTCACCTAAAATCAGATACTGGGCTGATATTGGCGCCTGGACTTCAATAGCCGGAACCGTTGCCAGCATTTCACCGTGTTGTAGCATGTCCTGACCTTCTGTTCATCCAGCAGCATGAGTGCATAGCTGGCAATGTGTCCAAGCTAGGCAGCTCCATGTGCAATGTCCCAATGAAGCTATAGCGCCAAAGATACCCACAAAGTTGGCACGATGACAGGCACCTCACCTGGGTACCAAATTCCCTACAATGTAACCGCTTCATCCCGGAGAGCTGCAACAATAGACACAGAGAGATAAAGGGGAAGACAGTGATACAGTGCTTTTGCCTTAGGTGAGACACCTGTTACTGTCCTGACATGACAGAGAAAATAGAGATCAGAGAAGATGCTCAGGAGAATGGGCTTCTGCTTTGTGTGTGCATAGCTGAGCTCCTGTTGCTGACACAGTTGTGCATAACCCCTTCTTTTCTGTTATTCCGCAAACACACAAAAACAGTCATGCAGATGTATGATCACACACATGAACACACACACACTCCTCCAGCAAGTACAACTACACATATAACAGCACAGATGATCATAAGCTCGGGCAAAGGTCCTTTTCACATCTCTTCTAGTGTAAATCAATAGCTTTAAAACGGGGAGATATAACACTCCACTTTTCCCTCCTATCCTTTTCCATGATACAAGTGTATATATGGATGTCAGCTACTTAAAATAACAGAAAAAACTAAATCCTGCTACAAAAACCCAACAGCTTGAGTGTGTAAATCAATGCTGGCTCACATGCGAGAGTGGGCAGAAATTACATAGCGTCAGTTTACCTCCATGTTTAGGTTAGACAATCCCTCTGACACAACATACCGATATCTGCCAGACTGAGTGAAAAGTACACACAGAGAACATTTAATTAGTGCCTGTTTTCCAGCGTTGTCAATGTATGAATGGATGTTGTGATGGGCATATTTGTTCTTACCTACAGGGGATAAGCTGCAAAAGAAACAATGGAGAGAGTGGGGGAGAGAAAGCACATGTTTGTGGCTGAGTGCATGTAGGTGGAGGGGATTAGCCTGATTGGCATGCAGGTGGAGTACTGCCTTCTTTGAATGCAGCAATATTTCCGCAGCAACCCTCTGACAAGCAGGTGCCACTCAATCACGGGAGCCCCATTCAAACACTTTCATCAAAGCACAGATGGTGCAGGACAGAATAACGATTCCACCGCCCTTATCCTTCCCAAATCCACACAAGCAAACACATAAACAATATTTCCTTTGATAGAGAAGGCAGCTCACATCCAGCTTGGTAAAACAGTAAACTGCTTTAGCTGAAGTTGATAATGAGACAACAGAAAGAGAACATTAAATGATGCGTGTGTGTCTTTTCAGCAATTCATGCTAACATGACAGCTTACACTGCGATACACCAAGCACCAGCAGCTGATCTCTATGCTGCTGTTGCATTGTGCCTTCAGGGGAGATTTTTTCGACTTTCCCACCCTGCACTCACACTCAATATGGTGACACCGAGTGTGTCAGTCGGGCACAGCCATCAAGCTACAGATAATTGTGTGGCCCCATGGAGAGCCGGCACATGGAGTTTTCAAATTGCCTTCAGCTATAAGCAAACCACAGCACTGTCAAACCTAAAATGACAGAAAAGCAGAGAAGAAGAGTGAAGACACAGAGTGTGCTGCCTTGAGGGAATGATATAACCTTTCTGAACAGGCTCTTTGTTGAAAAGTAATTGAGGGATTTTGGAACCAAAGCAGGAGTTTCTGATGTAGACACAGCAGGAAAATATGGTTGACAAAATCACCTCTGCTTCGACAATCAAATCATTATTTTTTTATGGTGCAGATGTCTGTAATGCGTTCCAATAATAGGATAACACACAACACCCAGTTTCACAGTGACTTATGTCCAAGATTTGCACATTTTATCTTATATTTTCTCACATTTGAATTGAAACCAATAGAAGTGACAATTGGATCAGTCGATTTTCTAAAAACTGCGACAGCAACATACATTTCTACCTGACACCTATCGAGCCAATCTGACAGAATCTAACACCTCTAGATGTCCTTTCATCCAGTTTATGATTATCACTCTTTTCATCCTTTCACTTGTTTCCTCTTCAATCTGTGCCCCCCCGACCACGAGGTGACACCTGACCCTGTTGGTCCCCGAGGTTAATGCAAAGCCTAATGACTTAGGAAAGTGACAGAACAATTTCTACCTGAAAGAAAGAAGCGGCGGCGGTAATTGAAATATATTAAACTACAGAGGATCAGCTAAATAGAGTAAAGGGAATTTAACACAGCACTCCTTTACAATCTTAGCGAGACATCCCATCAGCACCTCTGTAAACAACCAGCTGTGACGCAGTATTTAATGATAGCAATGCTAGAGCAGGCTATGGGAGTCTTAATGAAAATCAATGCATCGTAAGCCATGCGGTCTGCTTCACTGATCAGATTACCTTTCCAAACAACTATAACAGAACACTCAAATAAGCTTGTATTACAATGTTGCCTACACTAGCTGTTGATAACTGGATATCATAGCTTTAAGTTGTGTTTCAAGGCTTTTAAGTAGACAGTCTAACTAAGGAATTAAAAAATTGTGCTTTGTTTTACTGGTAATAAACTATATGTTAATAATACATTGATAGAGGCCCCTGGTCATAAGTTTCACAATAATAGAATATTTTGTCAATGTTACCCAGCCTTACTTTATTTTTTCTATAACAATTGCCATTTCAAATGAAGTATTTCTTGATGGGAATTGATTCATTGTCTTGTCATGGAGTAAGTGCTTTAGTTTATAGTCCTGCCAGCAGTTCTGATCCGGAGGGGCTCGTAGGAACATGCTGACACAATTGTATCCATCTAGTTGAAAATGAGAGGAGAGTGCCTTGCAGTTTTATGATCTTATCCCACTTGGCGAGATTTCTGTCACTCCTGGTATGTCTAACGCCCAGGGCATGGAAAACAGAAAATATGCTCCCTCTCTACGGCTCTATATCTATTTACGTATGTGTGTTACAGTTACAAAACACCTACACACACAAATATTTGTCTGCACACTAAAATATTTGTGCGTGGGTGCCTGAAACCCCTGAGTGGTTGCCCTTTGCTTAAAAAAAAAACAGCGAAGCTTGTGTACTGCTGTACCTGTCATCTCCCTCCGCTCTGCCTCTCTGTGGTTGGCTCTTCCTGGATTCCTCCCTCCTGGACTGAAAGGTCCGCTGTGTGGAGTGAGTCAGCAGATCAGAGGAGAAGGCTTCAGGTGGAGAGCTGTCTGTGGTCAGAGCCCAACCTTGGCTCCATGATGAGTGACCTGTAAAGAGGAGGAGACAGTCAGAGACACTTTCACCCTCCAGCAGTGGACAACAGACGGAGCGGCGCACTGTGTGTTAGCAACAAGTGAGCAATGGCTGTCAAAACAGTGAGTTCCTGTAACATCGAGCATTATAATAGCACTTTTTGTGAAATCTGAGCAAAGGGATGACATTTGCATATATCCGTAAAAAAAGAGCACACATTTTAAGAAGTACAACATTTTCCAGACATTAAAGGTTCAATTTGTTGTAGAGGGTTGGTAGAGAAAATGGCACTAATTGCTAGCTGTGTAATCCTTCCAGTTCACTGAAAACGTGCTGCCTCTGGGTCTACTGTACTCTATCAACGTTGTGTAAAATCACTGCCTGTGCTCCTTCAATTCGTGACAGCTCCAGACCTTGTCTCACCTCTCCACATACAGTACCTATCCCATAAAATAACAGTTGCCAAAATATACACACTCTACAGAATATATTCAGAGGGAGGACGACAGTTAATGTAATCTGTGCTGGCAGTTAATCAAAACTTCCTGCATGTAATCATCACACTGGAGAAGAGGAGAGGTTTTAAGGTGAACACATTAAAGTCTCTTCTGCATTTCTCACTTACAGAGATAATAAGACAGCCATCACAAAAAAAAAGTAAAAAGGAATTAAATTATCCGTTATACAATAATATAGTTAAGATGATTAAATATTGACTGGAATACGGATTAGATTTCAGCTTTAGGTTTTATGAATCAGAAGTATTTTATTCGTCCCGCAGCGGAAAATTGTTGCTACATGTACCTGCCATCAAAAGCTGAGCTCAACTTGTTTAATAACAGGATGAGAAAAGCATGATTTGGTTTTTCTGTTTTTCTTGCAAATAAAAGGAAACTGAAAAAGCGACAAAAAGGTTGTTTTCCGTGAACTTGGGCCAAAGAAGAGATAAAAAACATTGAATCTTGGTGTACCCTGTTATCAAACACGCTTTGGGTGACAGGTAGACTCAAAGTCACCTTTGTATTTGGCGTTTTACACCAAACACAAACAGCATTGGTATGTCCAAGACTACAAAACAATAATATAAATTAGAATAGATATAACAGAACCAAAGAGATTCTAATTTACAGAGTATTTCTGGTAATTAATGTATTTTTTTAGCTGATAACTACACCACAAACAGTCAGATTTAACTTTGCACCTCTGCTGGACGACCCATAGGTTTGATCTACGAATACTGAAGGTTTGACAAGATAAATCAAAGGACAAATGAAAATGTGCCTTAGTTTATCAAATGTCCTATATCAAAGGCTATGTTGAAGATATTTTATTTTCCACATTAAGCCAGATGTACAGATTTCCATGAAACCCACGAGACACCAGGCTATGAATCACTACTTCGCCACAAACACAATAATCATTTAGTACCGCGAGTGACGGTTCTGCTTTGTAACAAAAATGTATGCGTCTGTTTATCCTCCATCTGTGGTGGCATCCGTTTCATATTGTGCTCTCCCTATCTCTCTCTCTGTGTACCAGTGTTTGGCATCAACACATTTCAAATGTTATTTTTGGCGAAACACAACACTAGAGTAAGGGAGGCTAATTCTGTATGGAAGATTTGCTTAGTGTGGTGTCTGCCAATTTTATGTGACACATTGTAATTATTTGTATTAAAACTGGCAAGTGAGGCAGTCTGTCAGATAGATGTCATCAAGAATAAATACCTGTCCTTTTACTCTCATTATTGTTTGCCTTGATCAAAAGAAAAGAAAGGGGAGCTTTGCATCTGTCAATGTCAGGTGGAAGTGCATATAACAATCACTTGTGCTAAAAGCCAGGGTCAATGTGAACCGTATGTCTTCCATGTTCCATCTTCCACAAGGTCGGGATCCTGTCAAGTTCAATGACCCCGGTCAAGAGTCAAGATTATGGTCAAAGGGAACAGTGTGTTTTGGATGGATGTCCATCTGTGAGCTGGCCAGAAGGGTCACGGACACTTTAATTTGATAGCAACAGTGTGCTTCCCTATGTGCAGCTTTCATACTACTACTCATCTTTGATTGCAGTGTGCTAGGTCATGCAGTGATACATTTCAATCCAAGACATAAAACTGTCAAATCAAGCCCACATAACTACTGTGTAGAAGTGTTTTTATCTCTTTTGCTTTTAAATGTCACCATGATTACATTTTAAATTCACATTTATTTAAAAAGGGATCCTGTTTTTTTTTTTAATGATTTACATATTTTCTCGGGTAAGATCCGCTCTTACATCTGTGTATTCAAACATGAACAAGAAAACTATCATTGTGTCTGATATGCTGGAAACCCTTTACATACATTTTGCCTTTAAGCATGGTCCAGATTGAAGAGTAATGGAGCCTAAGAAATCAAAAGGGGTGCCAGCCATGCTAAAAGAATAAGAAGTGGGTTTCACCACACACCATTTCACACACACTGGACCCAGAGCAGCCGGAGAATATCAGAGGTATGTGCTGTTAAAGAAACCTATATGCATTTATACAGCCTTAACCCTCACTCCATACAGGGGGGGTGGTGCACTGTGCCAACCATGAAATGAACTATTTCTGAGACATATCAGCTGCAAGGAACCAAAGCAGCTCCTCATACCTGTGTGGCTGCACACCCCGTTGAGTTCAACCACAATGTACACGTGCAGAACATTGAAACGGTAGTAAAGACATTATTATTGTATTTACTAGTAGTAAGTAAGTGAACTAGACTATGAACAAAAAAACTACAATAAGACAAAGAAAGTTTAAGAAATGGTTTGACATTTTGTGAAACCAATTCTGCAATTTGTTTACATGTTCATTCATGGCCATTCAGTCAATATCGTTTGCCCATTTAACACAATCAGTTATATTAAAATCTACTCGCTCTTCCAGGCATTTAAAAAAGAGAATAGCCTGTCCACCTTAAAAGGTAAGCTCACATAAGTGAGGCTGGCCCATTGTTTTCGCTAAATGTCATATTGATATTCCCCGTACAGAAATTAGTAGCATCAAATTCTGGCCAAAATAGCAAATCTGTATATTTCTCTGAACATCAAGCATTCACCCTCCCTTATTTTTGGAAAGAGCCCGTGCCGACTTCCTGATATAAAATAATTTTGACATGTTGAAATTGAGAGTCTGAGAAAAGCATGGAAGGTTTTTTTTTTAATCCAAGATGTGGGTCAAACGAAGGCCACATCATTACAAACTCATTAATGAATCCTCCAATTGAAATAGAGTCACACCACCAATTACACAGGAACGTTCCCGTAAAGCAGAGGAAGTGACAGGAAGGAGTCAGGCTCAGCGATACGAGGGAGGCGTGTTTGCTCAGCCTTCCTCTCATCTGCACTCACCAGGCCCTGGTGTGTGTTGGTGTTGCAGCACTCAATATCATTACAGACTAAAGACACGTGAAGAGGTCAGTTTTACTATGCAAAGCTATAAACCTACTTTATGGAGACTTTCATGAGGCTATTGCTACCCTGTCACTGTTTATCTGCTTAGCAGCCGACAGACCACAGCTCCACCACGACCTCTGACCTCTCTCATATTTGCCATTAGGAACTCTTTTCATCAAATTTCAAAGTCCAGCTGTAGTCCAGGAAGTTAAAAGCCTTTGAAGTCTGGCCTGATTAACACATAATAACTCCATTTTCCTTTTAAACTAATCGTACTCCAAGAGCATAAAACAGCTGCACTCTAGTCATATTCGCGCCAAATGGACTGGCTTTATGTGACAGTATTACGAAAAGAGCTACTCATTCATGTGTGAATTTATAGAGCCCGTTGCAATGGTGTTATTGGTTACAAAGGTGACTAATGAGCATGAGGTGAGAAGTGAAACTTGTCATTAGAGTGAAGAATATGAGAGGGTCAAGCCTTGTGAAAGGAAACAGGAATGGTGATTGAAACTGCCAAGTAAAACCTGAGCTATGGGGTTGTGATTAAACTGAAAGGACAGACATTATGGCCTTCCTATCATCTAACACCTTGATTGCGAGCCTGCCATGTCCCTGTCACACCGACTGCTTCATCAAAAGTCTTTGTCTGCTCGTTGGCTCGAGTACCCCATTTTATCCAGGACCCTTCCCTGGAGACCACATAGGACAGGAAAACTGGTTGGTAAAAAATGACCTCAAGTGTTACATTTATAAGAGGATTGGAGTTATTCCCTGACTGTGTGAGCTAAAGTTTTCTCCAAATTCCTCCTAGCTCTTCAGATTAAAAACTATTCTCATACATGATTTAATGCAGCCACAGATATGGAATCAGTTGTAAAAGTAAATCAAACCTTTATCTCATAACAGTTAATACAATTGAAACACCTGGTTTGCAAGTTTTAAAAGATTATATTGTTGCTATGCTACCAGCGTGGCTTTATGGATGGTCAGTTGGTGGATGCACTGCCATGAAATTGCGTACAAATAAAACCCTGACTATTCATCCAGCTCTAATTTATAGAGGTACATGTACATTTGTTTCCATATAATGTTGCTGTTGTGAACTAACTGTCTTAAACTGTCGCTAAATAGCAAGTACAAATATATAAATAGCAAGTACAAATATCTTTCCAACAGCATTATAGGCCTGCAGAGAAAAGGGGTGAACTATTAAAAAAAATGACAGTTTTGGTGAAGTATTCTTTTAAAAATAGAGTTTAAAAGCCCATTTTAAATTGAGTCAGGTAGCAAATTATGTCCAAATCGCCTTTCCTCTGAGTGGTTTCTATGAAAAGCCTCACAAATTGGTAAAGGGTTATTGGGTGCCACATCAAAATGACAAAATAATTATGGTAAGGGCTATTTCGTCGGTATAAAAAAGCATTTTGAATAGAGAGAGCCCACAGAGGTGGACTGTGTGTGATGGGGCAGTTCTTGTATTTCACTCCATTCTCTTAAAATAATAGAGTAGATAAGTAGTAGCTTCTTTGACCATTTTAGGGCATAACTTATTGTAGACGTTTGGTCTATATCTTCATTGTCTTTATCGACA